CTGGAGCATTACTGAGCCCGAATGGCATCACTCGGTATTGCCAGAGACCTTGGCCATAACTAAATGCTGTCTTGGGTCTATCTGTACCACCTTTTGCTGTCTGGAGCGAGATGTGGGAAAGTGGCTGTGCACAAAAATTAAATAAATGAAATAAAAACAATAATAAGAAAGAAATAATTAGAATATAAGCTCAACCTAAATTATTAGTATAGCTTCCATCTTCTACCCTTCCATGGTAGTATCTGGATCTTCAATGGTTCTAAAGAGATCCACATAGTAGCAGATCTTATATCGGGAAGGTGATACAACTACATTAATGCACCTACATAAGATATGAAATGTCCAAGTTAGTAATTCCAATTATTTTCTCTGCAATAAATTTTAGAAATTATTTTGTATTGTGTATATTATAAGTTTGTTTAAATCACTATTTTCAAATTTATATAAATACATTTTTTTATTTATTATAAAATAATTTAAAATTTTTAATTAAAGTTTTCTCATCACATCCATTAAGAATCAGTTTATGTATTAATATATTGATATAAGATATTAAGAACTGTACATTGCTGCAAATTTTATGTATTTTACAGAATTGAAGTTGTGCAAACATTTTTAGGCAATAACTGATGAGTTGTTTTTAATTATTTTGGAACTGTTTATTATGATGATAAAATGAGGGAAAATTCTGAAGTGTCCATGTTCTTTACCCTGTTTTATTATTTTAGACTTCTGTCAAACTATAGTCTTGAGCTTATTTTATGCTAACAATATCACTTCAACAATAGTCGCGTGACACTTGTGTTCTTGATGATAAAGGTACATAGTTGAAACTCTGTTCCTGATCAATGTTTCCAAGTAAGCATATTTTCCTTTTTCAAATCATTTTCTAAGGATCACTTTTGTGAAAATGAGACAAACACAATGATATGGCCTGTCATCAATAAAATAGGGAATATGAGAGTGATTGGGGATTAGATTTTCAAGGACTTTTGTATGACCTCCTGATAAAAACTATTGCTTTTCTGCTATTTCCAATACAGAAAAATATTTTTACAAAATGCCACTATTTTCTAAGATTTTCATGATCTGCAGGAAACCTGTTAACTTTTAAAAGTTAACATCAACTGGCATACTTTGAAAACTCCAAATTGTTCTGATCTTGAAGAATGAATAAGATAAAGAATAAAAATAAGATTCATATGGTGCATTGTCTTTAAATCTTCTGGTATATTTTAATATGGTTAAAAATTAATACACATTTTACACCATGTTACTCATTAGGAGAGTTTTTTGTTAAATAGTTAATAAAAATAAAATTTAAACAAAATACATGGTTGAAGCTCCTGGTTGATTATGCTCTTTCGAAAGAAAAAACTTGAAATGAATCTGTAAAAATAATTCAGACTAAGAAACGTTTTCCTTCATTAGTAGTTATTAACATTCTATAGATGCAGAAGGCACTGTAATTGCTACATTATAATTATCAGAGTAATCCTCTCAAGGACAAAAAAAAATATTTTACATGACTTTTTTTTATCATTATAGGTATTAAAGGAGAACCAGGAAGAAGAGGACCTTCAGGTTTACCAGGATTGGGAGGTCCTGTAGGATTAAAGGGTGTTGATGGATTCCCAGGTATACCAGGTCCACATGGTAATCCTGGTGTCAAAGGCCCACCAGGTCTGCCTGGACCCCCAGGCCCTCCAGGTGGTGACTATCTTATGGGTATCCTTTTGGTAAGACACAGCCAATCTCCAAATGTGCCTCAATGTCCACGGGGCATGAAAAGTGTCTGGGATGGATATAGCTTACTTTACATTGAAGGCAATGAGAAAGCTCATCATCAAGACTTAGGTATGATGTTTATGTACTCTCATTATAGAAATAATAAATTATTTTATAACTCGAGAATACAAGCTATTGTATACATAATGTACGGTTTCATTTATCCTTACATTCATTTTACAGCATGTGATAGTCAGGATCTTGAAGTAAATTGCACTTGGTTCCCATAACAGTAATCAGTGAAATGTATTTGAATCCTTGTGGAATTCTCTACACCTGTCTGTAGATCTTCTATTTGTGTGGATAACAATAAACTGTTGATTGTACTTGGCTTCATCCACACAAAGGACATATGAATTGATACACTACATATTATCATTTGAGAATAGGAGTTTCTTCTTTAAATGAAAACAGCTAACTAAGGTAGACTCAATGTTTCATAATTCATTGAAGGTAAATATGTGTATAAGTTAACTGAAGGATATGTTTCAGTTTTTTTCTTTAACATTGCACTATGCAAACCTGTGTATGGTAAATTTGTTTAGCATGGAAATTTTAATACGTTTATATCTCTTTATTGGTGGTTTGTATAGTTTGTTGAGAACATTCTTAATAGAGCTATTGATGAGATGGATGGGTAAATAATTCCTTTGTAACATCACATTCATTTTTTTTTTTTTCTCATGTTGTTCTTCAATTGTGAAATTTCAATTTAATATTAGTGTTTTGTTTATTTAAATAGTTCAGGAATGATGAAACATATTTTATTTCTAAATACAAAAAAGATGTCATCAACATATCTGCAATATTGAATATGTTTTAAATCTTCATGAAATTTGGTTAAACAATTTTATTCATGAAATACACATACATTATGCAGTTTTTACAAGGGTTATGCTTTAAATATAAATCACCATTATAGTACATTATTATGGCTATCATGGTGCTGGTAACAATTAAATATCTCCACATTTCAGTTTTTGTGTTCAGGATGAAATTTTCAAATTCTTTTGAGTTTTTTTAGAACTTTTTCGGTATGTTTTCTAGGTTATGCTGGTTCCTGTCTCAGACGTTACAGCACCATGCCTTTCCTCTTTTGTGACTTCAATAGTGTTTGTAACTATGCCAGCCGAAATGATAAATCCTATTGGCTTTCCACTACTGCACCTATTCCAATGATGCCTGTTGGAGAGCAAGCTATACGTCAGTACATCAGTCGCTGTGTTGTTTGTGAGGCACCTGCTAATGTTATTGCTGTTCACAGTCAATCGCTGAGCATTCCTGATTGCCCAAGAGATTGGAGTGTACTTTGGATTGGTTATAGTTTTGCAATGGTAGGCCACCTTATATCTGTTTCTTATTATTAACCCATTGACTGCTGGTTCACCATATAGGGTACAGTCTGCTCCCGGCAGCCAAATGCGAGTGTGCTGTATGCAGTGTATGGCTTGCAAAAATTCTGCAAGTGTTTAGAGCAGTCAAAGTCAATGGGTTAATTTTTTTTTCTTCTTTTTGTATCTGTAATAGGATGCACAAGAATTACTATATAAATTAACGGACCGAATATCTGATTAAATTTTCAATTAAATAGCACAAAAAGTAGTGTTGAATGATGTGTAGTACATAAGATACAAAAGCTATATTTGCCTAATATTTAGAACAATTATGACAAATAGAATTGAGTCAATACTTTTGCCTTTGAAAAATTGTACTTAACTCAAGCAAGCACAATTAATTTTCTCATCTGAATTCCATGATGGTAGACTATGAAAATCTTGAGGGATCCAGTATGGTAACATAAGAGTTGATTTGGAGTTTTCTTCTTGTTTACAGCACACAGCAGCTGGTGCAGAAGGAGGTGGCCAATCTTTGTCCAGCCCTGGTAGCTGTTTGGAAGATTTCAGAGCCACACCATTTATTGAGTGTAATGGTGCTCGTGGTACTTGTCATTACTTTGCTAACAAATTCAGTTTTTGGTTGACAACCATTGAACCAGAAGCTCAATTTGAACGACCTGCCAGTGAGACCCTCAAAGCTGGTAATCTTAGGTCTCGTGTTAGTAGGTGTGCTGTTTGCATTAAAAATACAAGTTTTGGTTCTTCACCATGAAGGAGCTATAAGCTTTCTGTTTGAACTAGAAATCATATTTCTACTATAAAGTTACTGCTTTAGGGGAAAGGGGGGGTTAGGGCTGATGAATTGAACTAATAATACCAATTTCCCTAGAAGCTTCCATAAATATATAATTTGTTATGTATTTCTTGTTTATCCGACGTGTTCTGAGTAACATTTATAGTAAAAAAAGTCATATGTGTATGTATGTGTTTTAAAGTAATTACAATGTTTTATATATTTTAATGTGCTTGCATGTTACATCTAGTTTCTTGTGTGCCTCACTTGTTTCACTGTTGAAAATGGCTAATGTATAAAGTCCTAGTTAATGAAAATTTGACATATTTACTTTGTTTTTTTTATACTTTAAGGGTGCTGAGTAAACAGAGCCATGTAGTGACAATGTTTTTTGTTATCTGTTTATTACTTCTTGTGCAGCTATACTGCCTATGGTGCTACATGTTATTATCAGGAGAAAAAAAGAGCATCCTGAATAGAAGGAATATTTTTTTTAAACTTTGAAAGGAAACTTACAGCCTACTCAAGTATCTTTACAAGTAAACCATCAGAAATAAGGGAGAATTTTTTAGATTTTTTAATATTATAGAAATTGTTCAGAAATTTATTTGCAGGTGCTAACATTTAGCTAAAAGTTTTGACATTATACAAAGTTTCTATGTATTAAATCCATACTTTTTACATTGATTTTATAATAATGAACAGAATAAACTAGATTCTTAGAAAGAGGGCAACAGGTACTTACCAACAATATGTAAATTCGAGTTGAAGCAAGTTTTCTTTCAAAGAAATGTTAACATGTAGCCAACCAGTTAATATAATTTGTTAGAATGAAGATGTATTACCATTGCAATTGAACACTGCCAAAACTTTGAAAAGCAAATTTTTATGTAACTAGCTGTTCTGAATAAAAGATATGTTTGAATAATCTTTGATTTTTTATGATAAATCTGAAATAGCTAATAAAGTAACTCAGGCTAATACAATATTTGACATGTGTGAACTTTCTGATTGCTACGTGTATTATAATTAATTCTAAATATTTCCTGAAGTTTTGAATAAACTTAGGTCATCTATGAAATTACTTTAATAGGAGAAACAACAACATCATCCAGAAAGTAAAATAAAATGTGTCTAATATGCAAAAAACAACAGAATACAAGTTGATAAGTGTTGGTGTAACTTATTTGACAATAAATTCTAATCTTAATACCTTTGTGTTTCAGCTCAGACTTTATATTAATTAAAATAAAAAGGAATTATCACTTACCAATATTATTCAATGTTTCCATAACTTGTGTATATTTTCAAGTAATATTAAGGCTGTGGAAAAAATATATGAAACCAAAGCAAAGATACCTTAGAAGTTAGAAGAAAAAAACACCATCTATGAGGAAGAGAAGTAAGCATCCTACTTGACACTAAAAAAAAAAAGCAAATGACAAAAAAATATTTTGAAAGTAACATACTGTTTCAGTAAAATAAGTTTCAGTTAAAGATTTTGTAAGTAACATACCAAAAAATCTAACACATTCCATCACTACCTATATGTATATACAATTACGTAAAACATCATACCACAGGACTTTTTCAACATGTGATGTTTCCTCTGGCTTTGGTGCGGTCTAACCACATATAAACCAGACTCCTTAAGCCTGCAGAAAAACTTCTATTTTAATGTGCAATGTACTGGAGAAATGTAGCTTTAAATGTATAATTAGAGCAAAGAATAAGAATTCTATTATTAAGCCATGCCATTTCCAAAACATCTGGGACAACTACCATAAAACTTTACAAAAAACATTATCATCCAACTTAAAAATGATAGCTATTGCATTATGTTTATAGAAAGCAATACCAATTAAGGTAAATTACAGTGAAGAAAATGTAGGTAGAAAGAACAAATATTAAAATATCAGAGAACAGACTGAAAACTTAGAGTTGGAAGAAATGTAAAGGAAAAACAGCTTCGAAAAAGCTGTAAACAGTTAACTATAAATGAACTCAGAACTTTTTAGAATTCTTGGAAAATGTTAAATTGTCAATGTATTATTGCAGCAGGTAAATGGTTTGACTATTCCTTACATGGGTTTCCAATCTATGTCATTCCCTCCAGATTCAACAAAATGTACCTGTGAACTGTTATCTTTGTATTTATACAAACAACATATCTTTCTCCAAGTTAAGTCATGGCTGCCATGACTCATGGGTATTATTTATTAAAAACAGATGATGAACATATGAAGTCAGCAAGTTAAATTCAATACATACATATGGACAACAACCTGTAAAAGAGGAAAAAATACAAAAATAAAATTCTTAAACTTAGTTTCTACCTGATCAAATGATCATCTAGACATTTGGTTTGACATCCTCATCAGTTGCATAACTATATTAGTATTTTATTAATATAGTTATTAAAGATTAAACAACAGATTTTCAGTCAGGAAATGTCATCACACTTATATCACTTTCCAAAACCTCATTAACTGGACATCTATCTTGACATGTATTTGCTTTAACCAAATGTAGGGCTTTCTTCTGGCTCTTGCAAAGTGAAAGGCTGAAGAGTTAGTATTCACTATCATGTTTATTTGAAATATTCTTCTTTTTTTTTAACATCATGATTGAACTGTCTTTTTAAATTGTGGTCATATCATGACATTAATTCATGATTCAGCAACACTGAAGCTGTGTTTGACAACTTCCAGACTCGGTAGAAATATCTTATTGTCATATTATTGGCTATATCCATTCTATTCTGAGAACTGTTGGATGTTCTTTTAAAACATCCAACATTTTGCTACTTTTAAATTGACTAAACGTTTGAAATTTTAAGATACATTAGATTTATACACCTGTCATTTGCAAGTGCAATTTCATGGGTTCAAATGAATGATGTGGCATAGGTTTGTGAAGGCATCACTTAACTATTATTATATTTGTCATCATACCAGCAATTTGTAGTTTGAAATGAATGTAGATAATTGCACATAGTGTTTACCTTCATGTAATATGTCTGTCACTAACATTTGTTCTACTTAGGTCACGAGGATGCCTGAACAGCCATGTTTTAAGTATCTGTGGTTTCATTAACAGGTTTGACTTTCATTTGGTTATTCTTAATGGTTTTGCATGTGGTTTATACCTCGACCATGTGGTTGGTAATAGATGCATTATCTTCACTTTCTCCTGACAAACCACAATAGACTTATCTTTAGTGTTTGACAGTTCTCCATGCTAAGACAGGGAAGTCTAGCTTTTCATCTTACTAGTCTCCAAGATGGAAGTTCTTTGAGTTTGAGATCTGTAACTCTGGATAACCAACCCATTTAGCTCCAAGCAAAAAAGTGCTCAGGTCATACTTGCTGGGCAAACCAAATTTGCCTTTAGCAGAAAGCTTACTCTGTATAAACAAGCTTTCTACATGAAGGAGGGGACTGGATAACACATTGATAGATATACACGACTGTTCATTTTAAGTTTAATACATGGGTATTATTTAGTTTATATAATGTGAACGTTAAAGTAATGTTACGACAGAGGGGGCACGTGACGACAGCGGAAGTCAAGTGACGCTGGTAGCACGTGTTGAGAGTCTTGGAAGTTTCTAGAACAGGCAGTATTATCGTATATAAGTGCGCTAGACAGTGAGAGAGAGAGACGGAGTCGAAGCAGTAGTGGAGACAGAGACGAAGCAGAAGCGGAGACGAAGTAGGCAGAGAGAAAGAAAGACAGCGATTACGGTCGGCGGGAACTGAGGATAGCAGACACAGAGATCGGAACTATAGTTGGCAGGGACGGACAATTAAGTCTAAGCGCGATAGAAAGTGAGTGAATTGTTGTGAACTATAGTGTGTGTAACTG